GCCTGCAACATAAGAGTGAGCACATAACAAATGATCAGTTACTTCCAGATATTGGACGCTTCATGTAAAGCACTCAGAACCAAAAATAAATTTTTTCAGGTAGCAAACTGCCTTCTCTTACAAATCTTTTTATTTTTTCTATATTCTCGGCCTCTCTCAAATAAGAAACATTTGAGTTTTCAGATTCCTCTCCCCAGACAGACAACAAATCTTTAATTCATATCATCTCATCCCCTTAATTCATCCTCTTTTTCTTCTCCTTGGACTACACTCCATAAATCAAATGACATTTGAGGGTCCTCATTGTCTAGCCCCTGTGAACTTTCTTAGCCTCATTTCTCATCAGTATTCACACTTCATATTCTGAGATGGGATGAAAATGAGACTAACAACCAAATTGACCTTAATTCTTCCACCTAATTGTGCAGTTGTTCAATGTTTGCAATGACATCATCATTCACCAAATACATTTCTATTTATCTGGGGTTTTTTTGGGCAGGAGGGAGAGATGCTTAAAAATCTAACTCACACTTGTACCACTGAACTGTATCTCCAACTTTCTCCATCCTTCAAAAGCCACAAGGATGTCATCATCTAGGAAGGTTTCCCTCATGCTACATTATTCTCCAATATCCACCCTTCCTGTGCCTTATACATACTATACACATGCACACACATACACACAGGCCAAATGCTGTAACTCTTACACAGCTCTTCTTCTACAAATCCTTCAGGATAGTTCTTCAATGGCAGAGCCTTGCATCATCTACCTTTATACACTGTGCCCAGGATAGCACCATGTGCCTGGATTATAATAGGCGTCAGTGATATTTATTAAACCCAGTTTTAATAATTTCTGAATATTTGAAATCATAAGCCAAATTGAAATTTTAAATTCATGTTTTAATTCGGTTCATTTTAACCATTAAAAAAAAAAAAAAAAAGACACTACCCAGCACTCTGGAAGGCTGAAGTAGGAAGACTACAAGTTGGAGCTCACCCTGGGGAACTTGGCATTTAGGGAGACCCTGACTGAAAAAACAACACAACACTCAAGCTGCCTTAAACAGAGGTGTGGGAGTATCATTAGAAAGCTGGCAGGAAACAAGGCCTCTAGGGAGAATTTTTTTTGAAAAGGGCTGCCTTCTTCCTCCCCTACTTCTCCAGCTTCTGCTTCTTCTAACTTTTATCTTGCACCACAGTTAGTTCCGGGTTTACCAGCCTTTCTCCAACCCTTTAAAACTTCAGTCCTCACTCTCACCAGCAATTTATCTCCATACTATCTAATGCAAATTTCTGAGAGGGCTGTTTTCTGTTTGGCAATAGGCCGGCATGTTCAAATTCTCTTTATCTGCCAAGCTCTACCTCAGTTGCTGTATGGTTGTGTTTATGCCAGAAGTTTTCAGGATCAGACAGCTATCATTCTCCCAACCTCTGCTTCAAGCTACTATTCTGATTTCCTCAGAGCCTTTACTAAAATAAGCATATTGTTAAAATAATTTTGCAATACTTATAAAAACAAGTCTGGACAAATCATATTCACATTAAGAAAAACCCAACACATCTTTTTACCAAACCAGTTATGCATTACAAATATGCAAAAAGTTAACTTCTTTTATTTCTATAGGTGCAAAGAAGGAATCCTCTGGACTGTTATCAGGGCTCAACAACAGTGGTTTCAAAAGTATTTTTACAGGGGCTGGGGATTTAGCTCAGCGGCATAAGCACCTGCCTTGCAAGCAGGCAGTCATGAGTTCAATCCCCGGTACCGATAAAAAGGAAAAAGACAAAAAAAAAAAAAAAAAAGAAAAAGAAAAAAGAAAAAGACAAAAATAAATAAATAAACAAAAGTATTTTTACAGACATTTTGAAAAATTTTTCATACATACATGATGCAAAGAAACGAGTAGTAGTTCAGGCATTCTCTAGTTAAATTATCTCCCATAATACCAAGCATCTTTATATAAGGATAAGCACATACAATGGCAATCAATCACTAACCAACAAAACCTGTTTCTCTTCCTCTAAACTAACACCACTAGGTAACAGCTGAAGAAAGCCCTTACCCGGAAGTTCCCATGTTGGGGAAAGAAGAGGACTGACTGTGAGGCAGGCAGTGTTAGCTGGTCTCCAGTAACAGCGATCCTCGGGGCTATTACTCCCTACTTAAAAACTAGAGAAACAAATCAAACCCAACGTCTGTTACATCTAACAACTTACTTTAAGACCACGTGTATATAAATATTTGAAAGAAGACTGCAATTTATTCACTAAAAAAAAAAAATCTTGATATTCCAAGATTCGATATTCACTGAAAAGAAATACTGTTAGAAGGGAATATGGGAAAAGCTATGTGTGATAACAGTCATTCACAAAATCTGAGGAGAAAAGAAACTTGTTAAATGAATACTGTCTTTATGCTTTTTAAAAAAAAGAAGCCTTTTCTACTATAAAAATAATTCAGTAGGTGTTCCAATTAGCCAACTTGTTTATGGACTATTGTTGACTCATCTTTGTTTTATCTACATTAATGAGCAGCTGACTATGGAACAACACAAACAGCAGTTTATTGTTAATAAACATGATTTTAATTCAATCTGATTTCAAAGGACATGGGTACAGTTTAGAGTTCTGATGTTGCCCATGCTAGCCTTGAAGTTATAGTCCTCTTGCCTCAGCCCCCTTCACAGAGTACAAGCATATGCCACCACACCTGTCATAATTTCCTAAATTTTAAAAAACAAATCAGGGGTGGTGGCATATACCTATAACCCCAGCACTCCAGAAGGCTGAGGCCAGAAGATTGCTGCAGGTTCAAGGCCAGCCTGAACACATGGCTAGACCCTGTCTCAGAAAGCTACAAACGAATAAAGACAATAAGTCGCCCGTCTTGAAGATGTTTAGTCAAACACTAAAAAAGCTGTATGTCCTTATTCTCTTGAATAATACTTGCAGTGCTAAGTCCAAAGACTCTCTGTAGGACAAGTACTGTATTCCTAAAGCACAACATACAGATTTCTTTCCAAAGGATAAGCTGGACAGCGGATGTAGCTCAGTGGTGGAGCACTTGCCTAGCATGTGTGAGGCCTTAGATTTGATCTCAATACCACAAAATGGGCAGAAGGCAGGGACAAAGGAAATTTTTATTTTGGCTTATTTACAGTTGTCAAACTAAAAAATGATGAAGCACTAACACCTTTAACAGAGTACTTAAGTACAATACATCAAGAAATTTAAATTATTAAAAGCTATAAAGGTAAACTAGAGAATAGTTTAGCAGCCAAAAATCTATTAATGGATTGTCAACTTTATAAAAACAGAACACATTTAAAATGAACTATCCATTAAACTGTGGACAAAGTTTTTAAGAAAATGAAAACAAAAGGAAGTTTTTCTCTCATACTGTAAAGTTCACAGCTGATCAGGAGCCAAAAACGGCCAAAACAGCTCTGATGACAATTGGGAACAAACAAAAAAATCCATTTCTTGGTGTTGTTTTAAATCTAAACCTCTCTTAGTTGTGTCTTAAGTAAAATCAATTATAATACTGTTCAATGTAAACATCTATAAATTATTCCCGAACGCAGTCACGCTTACAAAAGACACAAGTTTCAAGGTAGTAAACTAGTAGGTCCTTACATCTAATCCATAGGACATGTATAGCTTATGTTTCCTTTAAAATCAAAACAAGAGAAGCAGTTGCAGAGTGTGCTATCTTCACTGATCCTCTCAGGAATGCTAATGTACTGCAGTTTCAACCTTGTAGTCCTTGAGGATTTTTTGAAGCAATTGATGTCTGCTTAGCCAAGCAATAAAACAGGCCAAAGCAGATGGGTTTTCTGTTAATCCTTAGTCTCAACTTTCACGCTCACAAACCTTACATCTTACTAACGCTCCTAAAAGTAGTTTTCCCAAAGCAATTTCAAACCACAACTGAATTCAAAGGAAGATGAGTAAATACATCACTGATGACAACATGCGACTCAACACAATGATAAGATGACTGTATTACTTCTGGTAACGACAGCAGTTATAACTTAGGTAATAAGAGCACAAATTTATTTTTTTAATTTTTTATTAATGCATGTTTGCAGTAAATGATAATTAAGTTCATCATGAGGAATTGGTACTTATACACAACACGTCTTAATTTTTTCCATCTTTTTATTCTCCCATTCCTCCCCCCTTTCATCTGTCTCTTTCCCTTTTGTGAAAGACCTATCTCCCAGTCTACTACTGTCTATCTTTTATTTATACTTGTATTTCTCGTATAAGAGAAACCATTCGATATTTAAGCTTGGATGGTGATCTATTTCACTTAGAGAACAATTTAAAGCTGTGCCTCCTTCTCTTATCACCTTGCCACAACACAGTATCTCACCCTATCGGATGGCCTGTGAAACAACACTGATGAAAGAATTGGCAAAATTTTAGCTCACGGATTTGCTAAGGCCATAGAAAAGCACCGAATGCATATCCTCAAAAACGTAGCAACTGTAAGGTAAAATCCCTACGTCCAAGATACTGACAACCTGACCACAGTCCAATACGCTTCACGTACTCTTCCACGGCAAAGATAAACCTGATTTAAACCCAGATCCTAGGCCTGTCGGTAATCCAAGGGGCCTGCTAAGTGAAGCGCCCTGCCTTCTAAACCGCAGCACGCTGAGCTCACTGAGGCACCGCTCGGAATCGTCCACTCCGACCCCAAGCACGCCCAGAGGAGTGACGTAAAGCCCTGCGAATCGCTCGTAGGCGAGCGCCCGGCCGCCACCGGTGCACCTTCTCTACCCCCGGGCTCCTTCAGGACTCCCCTCCAACCCCCGACCCCCCAGGGCCCCGAGCACACCCGGGGCACCCCTCGAATCCCAGCCCCCTTGCTCGGCCACCACCACCCCTCCCCGAGACGCCCGCCGGTCCCTCACCCTTCCCCCTAAGGTCGAGCGTAGCCGGCGCCCCTCCGCGCCCACCCACGCCCCGACCCGACCCGACCTACTCACCCGCGGTAATAGGCTTTCACGCGGACCTGGTGAGAATGGTCCCCGCCGCCGCCCGCCACCGTGTGGGACATGGTGCTGCTGTCCCTCTGGGTCGGCATCTCCTCACTCCCCCGCCTACAAGCGGGAGCCCGTGGGTGCGGGGGGCGCGCCGCGGAGGACTCGGCCGCCCCTGCCTGCCAGGGAGCTGCGGTCACCAACCGCCTACCTGCCCGGCCGCCTCGCCGACCCAAGGGTCCCCAGCCCGCCCGCCCGCCCCAACGGTGCGGCTCCTCCCCCCGCCCTCAGCCGCCCCGCGGCCGTCCCCACCGCTCCTCCCCGCCCCCCCCGCCGCGGCCCCGCCCACTCGCTCGCTTCCGAGGCTCACATTCCAGGGTAGGGCGGGCGCTACCTTCCAGCGGGCTGCAGGAGCCCGGAGCCGGGCGGCACCATCCTCCCGGGGTGGAAACGGGTAGGAGGGGAGAGTGAGCCGCTCGTCCGAACACCAGGTGGGTCCGCGTTCGGGTTTTTAATCGGTTTTGTGATAGGAAATTCACGAATGCATTTCTATAGAAGCCCCTTCCCTTCAGGAAAAATGGTAGGGGGCACATGCAGTAGCATCTCACCCGGTTTCCAATTTGGTCGCGTCCGCGGTCAGCCTATTTGGCACCCGGGTTAGATTTTGCGGTGCGGGATTCTGGGATCTGGAGTCCGAGTGGGATTCTGGGACTTGTTCTTACGTGTGCTGCGCCGCGCCTTCTTGTCCACAGTCTGACTCTAAGGTGCTTCCCGCGAACTGTGGGCGTGGATTTGAAGGCTCTGCAAGTCTCTAGCCTTCGTCACTACCTAGATGGTGCACTGATTCATTCTCCTTGTCAGTTGCATATTTTATCTTTGCTTGGGAACAAGATTTAATTACTTGTTCAGGGCAACCTTTTATAGAAGAATTTAATAATATACATAACAAATGTATAAATGGATGTAAAAAATAAATGGAGAGATTTACCTCAAAGATACGGTGGAAAACTGACTTTCTTCTTTCAGGGCCTCCTTGTATATTGCCATTGCATGGAACAGGTACACAATGAATGCTTAACCATCCAACCACCCAATAACCAATCTTAATAGATTAGCATTTATTCTGTTGACACCGGCTAACCAAAGGTTAGAAAGAATTTATCCTTGTAGCCTACTCATTGACTTTCTTCTAGTCATGGGTGTGTCACAAAACATATAAACGTATTTTGATTATAGGTAGCATAAATCCAGCCTTCCCATGATACGTGCTGAGAGTTGGAATAATAATTTTTAAAATAGCTACTTTTGTGATAAAAAGTTAGACTTGGGAAATTGACTCGCTATTTATGTATGATACCCAGGTATGATAGCCTCCAACTGCTGTAAGCTTTGATTTATGTTCTTAATGAAAATGCCCATTGAGTATTTCCCTATCAGTTTTTTGACAATTGAGAACCTGCATCATCAGCATATTATATTTGCACTGATTAGCTATGAAATATATCTGCAGTTAGATGGTCACATTTTAATTGGATTATTGGAAAATTTTGGTATGCTTGTGACAAATTTGATATTATGCTCCAGAAAAGTAAACACAGAAGGAATAAAGATAGAAAAATGAAAAGTCAGGATGGAAAACTTTTTTTTTAGTCCTTGTTCCTTAGCATTTTTGAAAAATCCTCCATTGTTGATATAGCATGCTTTGAAAAGGTGACCATTGTTAAAAGATTTATTGCTTACCTTGCTGTTTACAGAAATCTGTAAATGTTATGATTTGCATCTGTACTGCCTCATATAAGTAAAGATGAGAAATTTTCTTAAAGATGAGAAATTGTAAGAGCAGAATATGGTGTCGCATGCCCTGGAACCAGCTATACAGGAGGCTGAGGCAGGAGGATCATTTGAGTCTGAAACCAGCCTGGGCAGTGAGACCTTGTGTCAAACAAACAAAAACAAGCAAACAAAAAAGATGAGAGATTATCAGGGAAAACATGGTGTTACATTTTTAATAGTTTTATTGAGGTATCACTCAACATACAAGTCACCCATTTAAAGCATACAATTCAATAGTTTTTAGTATATTCACAATATTATGTAACCACAACCACTATCTAAACCCAAAATATTTTCATCACCCCAAAAAGAAACCACATATCCATTAGCAGTGACTTTCCTTTCCTCTTGCCTTCTGGCAACACAGCTTTTGTTTTACTATGGATTTTCCTATTCTGGACATTTCATGTAAGTGGAATCACAAAGTATGGGGCTTGTTTCCTTTAGTTTAATAGTTTTAAAGTTCATCCATGTTGTATTATGTATCAGAACTCCTTTCATGTAGTTAAATAATGCTCAACCACGTAGGTATACTACATTAATGCTGCCATGAACATTCATGTACAAGTTTTGTGTGGGTATATGTTTTAATTCTCTTGAGCACACACCTACAGGTAAATTGCAGAGTGAAATTAACTATGTAGAACATTTTGAGAGGTGCTCAAGTTGTATTCCAAATGGCTGCACTATTTTACATCCTCACTGCTGTGTATTGAGGGTTCCAGTCCTTTATTTTCTTATGCATACTTGTCATTTTTCTCCTTTTTTGTATTATAACTATCCCAATGGTTTAAATGGCTATTTATATATCTCCTTAGAGAAATATCAGTTCATATCCATCTAAATCACACAAAAATTCCTTAAAATTAGATTGTCTGTCTTCATTGAGGTATTGGTTGTGTTTTGTTTTGTTTTTCGAGACAGGGTTTTGCTGTGAGGTTCAGTCTGACCTTGAACTTGCTGCAGTCCTTACCTCAGCCTTTCAACTGCTAGGGTTACAAGCATGCACTACCATGCCAAGCTATTCTGTCATGTTTACAGAAGTAAACCTTCCAATTTATGAAGATGGCATAATTTTCTACTTATTAGTCTTTAAATTTTGCATTTCTTTTGTTAAATTTATCCCTAAATCTTTTGTTTTACTTTTTGTGAGCTTTTTCTTTTTGATTTTTTGAGACAGTGTCACACTATGTTACTCAGAACAGCCTTGAAAATATCTAACCTGCACTTTTGAAGCTGAGGCAGGAAAATCTCCATGAGTTTGAGGCCAGCCTGAACTACATAGGAGAACCTGCCTCAAAAAACCCAAAAAATAAAAAAATTAAATTAAAAAAAATTTTAAATGACAAAAAAAACCAACAAAAAGTTTTTAAACAGCCAAACTGAAGGTGTAAATTGTTACTTTCAGCCTGAATTAGCCTTACCCATGTACTCTTCTGCCTGTATAGAATGTGAACACTGGTTTGCCATCCGCTTTATAGTGTCTTAAAAATCTTGCTCCTGGCATCACTACTTATTTCTCAAATGAGCATCAGACATGTGAAAAACATCCCAGCCCATTTTTCTTTCTACTGTTCCAAAAATAATGCGAATACGTTCAACTTTGCATAAAATCTTCTACCTTTAGCTACTTTCAGTGGTTGCACTGAACATGTGATAATGCCATTTAAAGAAAAAGGTTCAAACTGGAGGTACTGATCATTTAGCGAGATCTTATGCCCTTACGGAGATAAGCACTAGGCGCTGGCCTGAATTATACTTGCCTTTGACTCAGTGCAATACTTTTAATCGTAGAAAAATAATTAATGCCAAGATTCATACACTTAAAAGATTTTAAATACTATTGGCCTGCATTATGTTATTTTGTGATCATTAGAGTGCTTGTTCCAATGTAGAGCAAAGAAATAACCTGGCTAGAGAATGATGAATGAGAGAATGAATAATAGACACAGTTTCTGGGTGATCATTTCTCACATTACATTGTTTTATTAAGCTTTAAAAACAAGGTTACACTTTAGTTTTCATTCTATTACTCTGATGAGTTACTCTAGATAGTCAGTGAGGCCCAGATTTGCCTCTTTTGCTTTCCTCCTCTCCCTAGCCTTGTCCCTACCTCACTGATACTGCCAACTTTATCTCCAAGTGATCTCTGGGCCCTCCCTTTATTCCAGCCACATGAACTTATTTATGTTATAGTTCTCAATTTCATTCCCATGCTACATATGACATGTAACTAGGAGTTTGAGCCTTAATCTATCTTGCCTTTGAAATGCAATTGCCTTGCTTCAAATTTAAAATAGTAAAAGCTAGCATAGAAAAGAAAGCTCATTGATTGATGCCTGTGACACACATCCCTGTGTACACACACACACACACACACTATTCTCTGATTATTCTGAAGTGTCCGCCTGAACTCAGTCCCTACAACCCCAAGTGATTTTCTTTTCCAGGAAGTATTTATAAACCAGGCTGTTAAGTCATATATCAGTTACTGAACCACTGTGCAATCTCGCAATACTTTAATTTTTTGACATACTTAGAAGGAACTGGAACTGTGGCTTGTTTGTCTCTGTATTCCCTGTACCAAGCAAACAATAGGTGCTCTAATCATATCTGTTGACACAGAACAGTTACTGCTTTGCTTCTTACACACTCTGTCCTAGATACTGAAGCTTGAACTCAGATCCTTTATACTCAGCTACATCCCAGTCTTTAATTTTTTTTTTTTTTGTCTTTTTCCTTTTTATCGGTGCCAGGGATTGAACTCATGACTGCCTGCTTGCAAGGCAGGAGCTTATGCCACTGAGCTAAATCCCCAGCCCCCATTTTTTAAAAAATTTTGTTTGTTTTGTTTTTTGAGGCAAGGTCTCCTGCCTCAATCTCTCTTAAATTTTAAGACAGTCTCACTTAAATTGCTAGGTTGCTCAGGTTGGGTTTGAACTTTCCATCCTCTTACCTCATCTTCTCAGAGTGCTGAGATTATAGGTATTTTAGATAAAACAAGGAAAAATATTTATTTGATAAGAATTTCCTCAGGTTGGATTAATTGTTACAGTTAAAAATGTGGGGTAGGGCCGGGAGTTTAGCTCAGCAGTATAAGCACCTGCCTTGCAAGCGCACAGTCGTGAGTTCGATCCCCAGTTCAAAAAAAAAAAAAAAAAGTGGGATCACTGTCCTGTGATTCCTCACTGTACCCCTTAAAAGTCATGTCCCACAATGTTAATTTTAAAAATGAGTGAAATAAATGAATCTTTCTAATGAATCACAAATGGAGAGTCTGTTAGAGAGGTCATGATGAAAGGAAGAAAGAAAGAGAGCAGGGAAAGAGAAGAAGAAAGAAAAAGATTGTTTAACAATAGCCACTGAATACTCAAAGAGATCTAAGAAAGCCGGGCACAATTAACTTTTATAAGGGTCATTATTGC